AAAAAAAAAAAAAAAAAAATCACCGTATCGACATCCAACTCGATCTACATGGCTTCTTCATCTACAAATTGGGTGCATATACCCTCCGGGCGGCTATCTTCTTGCCGAGTATCTTCTCCACCCACTTCACAATCATGCAGACGCGCCGGAGGCTTGCCAAATCCTCCTCTCCTCCGCAAGATAAAACTACAATAAAACTACCGTAGATGATCGCGTCCTGTGCAAGAAAATTAGAAAAAGACAAGTGTAGAAAAAGAAATTGGGATAAGGGAGAAGAATTGAATTTTTTTTGTGTCTGCGAATGCTGAAGAAAAAAATAGCAATAAGAAGATAAGGAGAGAGAGAGAGTGGAGGTGATAAGAGAAGTTAAAGAAAATAAGAAAAGAGGAAAAGAAAAGAAAACGGAATACTCTCGTAGTTTAATAAATATATTAGGTAGTTTGTCTCCTTTTGTTAATAAAATATTATCAACAGTAGATGTGCAATATTTTATGATCGAGTTCGTAATAGAGTAATTATCTCTTAAGGTTAAGAGAATTTTTGTGAACCGATTGTGGATGACCAGGCCTTAATTTTTGGCCCATGTTAGCTAAAATCACTAGATCCCAATGCAGCAGGCCCGTATTAGGCATAGCTAAATACCAACAAGAATAAGCTAATATTATGTAGAGCTAGTACTTTCTAACAAGGGTGATGCTGTTTTTCTGTTCCAAAAAGTGTGTATATGTATATACTATATAGGGATTGAATCAAATATGTCCATATTCTTAAAATCAGAAATGTGAGACTCAACTCTAGTTATTAAATAAGAAAAAAGATGCCTGGTCCAAATTTGATCTTATTACTTTTTTTAATTGTTTAAATATTAATTTGATCGTCGAAAGTCGACGTTGATCGTTGACCATAATTTGTGCCCCGTTGTTCTTAAAGTCTGCATCCGCCCCTAAATTGCATCACTTAATAGTGAAATAAGATAGTAACAAAACTGCATTTTTAATATGCATGCATCTCTCATCAATGTATTGACTCAAACCTTCTACTAAGTGTGGCATGTGTCTATAGAAATGCAAATTGTCTACATGCAATTTTTCAAGGGTTAATTTTTTGCCGGCAAGGGAATTTTTGGCCGCCGCCGGCGGCACACAAACGGAACCTCTGCAAATAAATAAATAATAATAATAATAATAATAATAATAATAATAATAATAATAATAATAATAATAATAATAATAATAATAATAATAATAATCTGTATTTCACTGAATTCATAATTAGCGAAAAAGGAAAAAATTAGTTTTCTCCATAGGTAATTTTCAAAATGACAATTTTTATTACACAAATGTTGTTAGCCTATCAAACGGTTAAATAAACATAATTCACTATACGAAATACTTGCTCATAATCAGGAGCATAGCAGAACTTTAAACTTAGGCTAGATGTATGTCAAATTATATTGGTCTGTTAATCAGCGGTTAGCTGTTAGCTGTTAGCGGATTGCATTAGCTGCTTTGACTAGCGGATTGTATTTGTTGTTTTGACCAGCTGATTGTGTTAGCGGTTTGTAAAAAGAGTATTTGGTAAAATTAGCTATTTTAATCAGCTGTTAAAATGTAAAATTACTTATAAGGACAAATGTTAAATTTATAATTAGTTAAGAAATACAAATAAATAATACTTAAAATAATTACTAAAGTGATATAAAATACAATAAAAATATAAATAATAATAAAAATAATTCTTAATCGAGTAAATAAGTTGACGTATGTGTAATCTCGTCTTTAATTATGGTGTTCATTCCTATTTTTGACCGTCGGCGATGTTGATTTATTAAACTAAATTAATATTTGTTAATGTGTCTAGGTGGTCATGTTCTAGAATTTACATAATTCATGAATGTAAGTTATAGATGCATGAAAGTAAAATGTAGG